AAAAAAAAGGGCAAGAGACCCCCAACTCCACCCCGCCAAAAAGTCAATTTATTAGGAGAGCTGTAAATAGAGAGATAAGAAGAAAATAATGGGGGTGAGAGGGAGGATCTATTTTAGGAAGGCTGGGTGTGTTGGAGAAGGCCTCCATGAGAAGTAACTTAAGCTGAGACCTAAAAATGAGAAGCTGGCCATGGTAAAAATAGAAAAAAGAGTATTCCAGACAAAGAATAAACAATATAAGCAAAGGCGTTGTGGTGGGGAAAATCTGGTATGTTTGAGGAACTGAAAAAACAGTATGGCTGAAACATGGCGAGGAAAGGAGGGGTTACAAGATGAAACCGGAAAGAGAGGTAGAACCAAATAATGTTAAGGTTCATGTATTCATAACTTGTGGGTACCCCTGCATGAGTCAGTCATTTAGTACAATCTTGTCTTCTGTGATTTTGCTTATTTTTAAATTCAAATTCATTTTCTGCCAATCATGCTATTTTAGCCATGTTATTCTCACCTTTCTATGGTAGGTTTTTTATACCTATGGGTGTATTATCCAGAAAAAATGGCAACTGAGTTAGGGTAACCCAAAATAAGAGCCAAAAGGAACAAGGACATACTAAATCTGAGAGGCCAGAGTGAAGTCATGATGAGAAAATAAGTAACAAAGCTGGTGTTCGTAGATTGGAGCAAGAAAAAGTACACTAGGAGGTTCAGGTTGAATCAAATGTTTTCAACCTCTATCTAAAAACTGAATAGGATGGATATGGCCGCATAAAGGTGCTGAACATTCTTAATTAAGTGATTTCTTTATCCTTCTATAAATTCCCAAAGTTCCAAAAGGCCTAGCTTAATTCTGTAGCTTTACCTACCTCTTTTATTTATCACACATCATCTCTCTGCAAACACTGCACTAGTCTAGGCACCAAGACTAAAAAAAGAAAGATGGGCATTGTACCTATCCTCACAAAGATTATTCTACTTAGATTTCTTTTTAGTGTTCTCTTTTTTAAATGTGTATTTATTCATTCTGGAGAGAGAGAGAGAGAGACAGAGACAGAGAGAGAGACAGAGACAGAGACATTGTGCGCACACAAGCAGGGGAGGGGCAGACAGTGAGGGAGACACAGAATCTGAAGTAAGCTCCAGGCTCCAAGCTGTCAGCACAGAGCCCAAAGTGGGGCCTGAACCTATGAACGTGAGATCATGACCTGAGCTGAAGTCGGACACTTAACCAACTGAGCCGCCCAGGTGCCCCAAGATTATCCTAGTTTGTTTAAGCAATTAAGCAAAATAATTACAAACTCTCGGAAGTGCTATGATGCAAAGAAGACGTGTTGCAGCAGAAAATAAGACTTGACAGATGCCCACTTCAGACAAGGTTGTGAGGAAAAAGTGCTGTCTAAAGTGAGAAATGACGGGGGGTGCCTGGGTGGCTCAGTTAGTTAAGTGTCTGACTGCTGATTTTGGCTCAGGTTATGATCTCAAGGTTTGAGAGACCAAGCCCCACATCGGGCTCTGCATGGAGAGCATGCAGCGTGCTTGGGATCCTCTCTCTCCCTCTCTCTCTGCCCCTCCCCTGCTTACTCTCTCTCTCTCTCAAAATAAATAAACACTAAAAACATAAATACACTGAGATGGGGCAGCTGGGTGGCTCAGTCAGTTAAGTGTCTGACTCCTGATTTTGGCTCAGGTCATGATCTTACAGTTTGTAGTTTGAGCCCCACACTGGGCTCTGTGCTGACAGTGTGGAGCCTGCTTGGAATTCTCTCTCCTTCTCTCTCTACCCCTCCCGTGCACTCTCTGTCTCTCAAAATAAATAAAAAAAATATTTATCAACAAAGAAAGAAACAATGGAATGGAAGCCGTGCAAAAACCGGGAGATGAGCTGCCCAGGAACGGGACACATCATGATCAAAGGCCCTGTGGGGAGGCAGACAGCTAGAATGAAGTGAGTGAAGTGTGAGAGGAGAACAGTGGCCCCAAGCTGAGAATGGAGAAATGCACAGGATGTAGGCCATGGTGCATTCTGCATTTTAAGTGTAAAATGAAGCCCCTAAAAGTTTTAATAAAGGAATGACATGATTCAAGTTACACTGTTAAAAAGATATTCTGAGATTTTGTTCTGATAACAGTGGAATAGCATGTATCACACTAAGCTCCCCAGAACAGCAGTTATAAACTGGACAAAGTACAAAAAAAGCAACTGCTGAAGGTATTGGAGAGCAATCAAAAGCAGACAGAAATGGGAAAGGATGTGACCTTTGAAAGGAGGCAATATGCTGAGTGAAATCTATGTTTTTCAAGGGCTTTCTCCTCAATTCACACAATGCACAGTGGATAGAACCAAGCAGAAAACTAGTTGTGTTGGATTGAAGAACTGAGGGAGAAATCGGAGACTGTCAGAATGGCTGGATATTGAGGAAGATCCTGGAAAAGAAGGAATCACGGTGGAGGGACACCCCAGTTGCACATCTAAACTGCCCTCAAATCCTTGGCTGAGCCCTGAACTATGCACGTGTAGGAAAGACTCAAAAGAGTCAAGGGGGGGGTGGGGGAGGGGGGAGGAAGGGGGGGAACAACTGCTGAGAGGCTGAAGAAGCTGCCTGCTACGGGGCAGCTGGTGTGGCACTCGAGTCCCACACCAAGGTAAACACCTTGGGTTCTCCACCAAAACTTTAGAAGGGTCACACATGATTTAGAAGTAAAGGCTGAATTCAAGAGGAGTACAGAGAAGTATTCACTCGATTTGTCAAGATGAAAGCCAACTCCCAAACCAACTCAGTATAGGGGTGGGGATGGGAGAGAATGCAGAGAAGGCCAGTGAATGAGAAAATAACTCTTTGGAGAAGTTCTGTGTATGGAGGAATTGGGTTGGGGAAGTTTTATCAGAATGGGAAACACTAGTGTAAGTCTGTATTCTTGTAAGAATGGTCCAATAGGGAGGGAGAACTGGATGATGCAGGAGAGTGAGGGAATCACAGTGTGGTCCACAGACCAGTAGCATTAGCATCACTGGAGCTTCTTAGAAATGCAGACTCTCCACCCCAACCCCAACCCCAACCCCATAAAGTCAGACCCTGCATTTTAACAAGTTCCCTGGGGACTGTAACGCACATGGAAGCACGACAAGAACTGAACGGAGGACCAATGACAAAGACAAGGGAAGAAAGCAGAGTTCTAGAGTAATAAGTAATGAGAAACTGGTCTTCGACAGGAAGGGGGAGGGGTCACTTTCTCCACTTTAAAAGCAGGAAAGAGGGGCGCCTGGGTGGCGCAGTCGGTTAAGCATCCGACTTCAGCCAGGTCACGATCTCGCGGTCCGTGAGTTCGAGCCCCGCGTCAGGCTCTGGGCTGATGGCTCAGAGCCTGGAGCCTGTTTCCGATTCTGTGTCTCCCTCTCTCTCTGCCCCTCCCCCGTTCATGCTCTGTCTCTCTCTGTCCCAAAAATAAATAAACGCTGAAAAAAAAATTAAAAAAAAAATTTAAAAAAAAAAAGGCAGGAAAGAAAGAAAGACAATGAATACTGATGTGGAAAGGTTTACAGATTTGGTAGCAAAAAGAAAATTCCCACCTGATGACTTCCCATCTCTGGTCTCAAAAAAAGGATGAGGCAAGGTCCTCAGCTGACCGTTAACAAGGGATGGGCTATGGAAGGTCTGAGGATTAGAGAAGAAAGGATGAAATAATTTTCAAGTGTGGGAAAGTGAACTTCTTAGGGACACACTTGTTGGCCTGGCAGTAAGCACTGAGTGTTTATTTGAAGTCTGTGCTTATAAATTTAAAGCGAAACTAGCTTCCTTGTGTAAATTTCTCCTTTATATCCATAGCTGCACCCTAGAGAGAAAGCAGGTAACTGAGCTCAACCAGGGTTGTGTCACATAAATCACAGGGAGAGAAAAGGAGGCAAAGTAACTGACAGTACTTGAAAGAACCTAGTTCAAAAAAGAAATCTTAACTGAGACTGTAAGAATTAACAGCCGCAATGGTTTGGAACTCATGATGAAGCTGAACACTGTTAACAGTAGGCGTATTTGACTAAGTGAAGGAATTATTTAAGAATGAGATGTTTGTGGGGTGCCTGGGTGGCTCAGTCAGTTGAGTGTTCAACTCTTAATTTCAGCTCAGGTCTTGATCTCACGGCCATTAGATCAAGCCCCTCCATGCTCAGTGCAGAGCCTGCTTAAGATTCTCTCTCTCTGCCCCCCTCCCCTGCTCACACTCTCTCTAAAATTAAAAAAAATAATAATAATTTAAAAAAAAAAAAAAAAAAAAGAATGAGATGTTTGCAATAAGATGTGAAGGTTACATCCTGATGATTGTCCAGAGCTAAGGAGGAAGAAATCAAGGAACTCCAGGAGCAGAGTATTAAATGGGCTTTCTACCTTGATACTGATAACGATGATAAATGAAGTTTTTTACATTTAGCTTCTCATTATGCAAGCATTCAAGGAAGGATACCTGAAGGTACAATTTCTTTTAGATCTGCTCAGGTCTTGCTCATGGGTAAGGTTTCATTTTTTTCCGGAGTGATAGTTATAAACAAATACAAATCAGGAGGAATTAACTACTCAATTTGGCAAAGGGAGTAATAAACTGACAATTTAAGCATCTTCAGAGCATAAATAACTAATCACAGTTCCATAAAAATTTCCAAGAGAAATCTACAATCAATACAGTCTTATGCAACTCAGTCAAGCAAACCTAAGAATCAGAGAATAGGAAATAGGAATTACTTCATTATTAGATTCAAAAAATACTCACTGAACACCCACAGTGTATAGAACACCCTACTCTGAGTGCTGGAAATTTTCTAATAATCTGATATGAACTAAATCATTATTAAATGTAATTACAGATATTGTAGAATATACAGAAATCTATTTTCATCATTTTAACAGATTTTTTTAATCAAAAGGTAATGGGAAATTTTAAGTAACTTAAACAACTTTAGCTTTCATTTTTATTTAAAACAAAAACAACAATGGAGTGTGCCTTAGTCTGTTCAGACGGCTGTAACAGCAATAATCACAGAATAGGTGGCTTATAAACAGAAATGTATTTCTCATAGTTCTAGATGCAGGCAATTCCAAGATCAAGGGACGAGCAGGTCTGGTGTTTGGGGAGGGCCTGCTTCCTGGCCATCTTCTTGCTGTGACCTCACATGGCAGAAGGAGCAAGGGAGCTTGCTGGGGCCTCTTTCATGTGGGCGTTAATCCCATTAATGAGGGCTATGACCTAATCACCTCCCAGAACCCCACTTCCTAACACCATCACATCAGGGGTTGATTTCAACATAAGAGGGGTGTCTCGGTGGCTCAGTCAATTGAGCATCCAACTTCGGCTCAGGTCATGATCTCATGGTTCATGAGTTCGAGCCGCATATCACGCTTGGAGCTGTCAGTGCAGAGCCCACTTCAGACCCTCTGTCCCCCCTTCCCATCCCTCCCCCGCTCACATTCTCTCTCTCAAAAATGAATAAACATTAAAAAATATATTTGAGAATAAGAACTTGGAGCAGACAAAACCTGCAATCTACAGCAGAGTGGCAATATATGATTAAAGATTGTACTTTTTCTGGTTAGGAGACTCATTTTTACTCAAGTGAGCATATTCCTACCTTGTTTATCCAGTACATGACAGCATCCTCAATATCATAGGGCAAATCAGTGGCTTGAAAAAAAGCTGAGTACTGTTGAGCACAGGCAATTACTTTCTCTATGCTGACCATTTCTACGGTATAAGCCATCATTAGGGTATCTATCATGGCCAAATGAGCACTCTGAAAATATAAAACAAGAACAGAGTTTAAAAATTACGCTTAGAAACTGTTATTTATATATTTTACAATATTAGTAACAATTCCTAACAAAAAGTAACAGAACTAAAGACTACAGAAGATAAGCCTTAACAAGAAAGCACAAATGAGAGATAAGCTAACTGAACCAAACAAACTTATCACTGAAATAATTAGTGAGGATCTTTAAGACACTCATTTTCTTCTATTCAGGGAATGTTCCTTTTCCTGTTTTTCCTATTTTTGATAATGTTGTAATCATTTACCCATAATACAATTTACAAACTTCAGAGCATCTTTGACTATGCTCTTTCCTCAAGCTTCATAACCACATAGTAGAAAAAGTTTATAGATCCTGCTTCTAAAATGTCTCTCAAATCTGCCGTCTTCCTCTTTCTGACTGCCACAGTTCCCGCGCAGACCATCAACATTTCCCACACTTGAACAAGGCAAAGGACTCTCTGATTCTCCTGGCTCCAGCTTTTTCCTTATCCTATTCGTCCAGCAACCCAGGACCTCCAGTCTTTCCTTTGCCTTTTTGTGTTGTGCGTGTTTGCTTGTTTTTAAATACAAAAGTGTTGTTACACCCTGATGCTTAAAAGTTCCAAACACTACAAAATACATAAAGTAGAAACTACCCCTCCCGGTCCTCCTCCCCTAGCAATGTGAACAGTTTGGTAAGTATTCTTACAAAAAAAATTTAATGCACACCAAATAGATAAACATTTACATCGTTTCCTATTCGCTGGCATTATAAACAATTCTACAACATTGTATTTCCCCAGGGATAATTCTTCACTGTGGGGCTACTGGACCCAAGAGCAATCACATTTTAAGTTTTCATAAATAACCATTAATCTGCTCCCTAGAAAGTCTGAAGCAACCTTTATCTCCCACCAAGAATGTTATCACTGTGCCTGTTTCCCCACATTTTTTTCTTTGTCAACATTTGGTACCATTCACTTTTTATCATATGTGTCAGTCTGAAAAGTTAAAAAAAAGAAACACACACACCCTCATTTGACTTTGCATTACGCTGAATAATGATGAGCATCTTTTTACATGTTAAGCAACCAACTTGTATTTTGTCCCTTGGAAAACTGCCTGTTCATATCTTTTGCCTATTTTTCTCTTTGAGATGTTCATCTGTTTTTATTTCTTGATTTGTAAGAGCTCTTTATATATTAGGTATATTAGCTCTGTGTCATTCAGATAGCAAATACATCTTCCTAGTGTGCCTTTGGATTTTCAACTTTATTTGGAGTATAGTTAGCTACAGAGAAGTTCTAAATAGATACTTGGTAAAATCTGTCAATCTTGCTATTCTCCTTTATGACGCAGAACTTATCTCACGTTTGCAAAAGGTTTCCCCACCCCACAAATACAGAAATATTTTCCTCTATTGTTTTCTATTGCTTTAAATCTATCTAGAATTTGCTTTTGAAGATATTATAAACTAGGGACTAGTTATTTTTCCAAATCAGAGATTTCATCATATCACATTCTCTCATGAAGTCTACCTCATTTATTTTATATTAAAGTCTATACTCCTTAAACAGAGGTAAAGTACTTTAACAGCTGGTCCCTACCTATTACTCCAGCCTTTTAACTTACCATTTCCTTCCCCCAAATCACACTCCTTTCAAAATAGCCAGAGAAGACTGCCATTCCCCAAATCTGTCACCAATTTTCAAGTTTCCATGCCCTTGCTGTTGCTGTCCTGACACTGGCCTGATTGTTATCTTCATTCTAAAGGCTTTTTCCAATTCACTTTCCAATCAAAATGACTCATTTTTCCTATAGAATGAGTACAGGTTCCTACAAAATAGTGTTTATACCTGCATTAAATTCTGACTTATCTCAAGTAGGGCATGAGCACTGGTATTTTTAAAAAGTTCCCCAGAAGCCAGGGCTGAGAATCACTGACTTCTCTCATCATAGTACAGTTACCTGTATACAACCCTGTTTCCCTTGTTAGACAGTAAGACTCTTGAAGGCAAGGACATTATCTTAGTTATATTCATACTTCCTACACCTAACATGGTACCTGGAAACTAGCAAGAACTGAAGAAAGTTGGAAGGGAAGAAGCTAGTCTGGGGGGTCACCATAAGGAATGGGGAGCTAGCTTTACACTGGAGCTTAAGAAAGTGGTTTTGACTAGGAGGTAGTAGACTAGCCTATCAAAAATTTAGCACTACTTATAGAAAGGCAGATACTTTATCTTAATAACAACAATCATACAACCAATGGTGACTCCTACTTATTAAGTCTAACTTATGTACCAGATACTGTGCTAAGTATGTCATTAATATATTAGTTCTTTCATGTCAAATCTCTTCTGAAATAAAGCCGGAGATAATATACTTTCTACAACCCTCACAACTCTCTAAAGGAAATATCACTTACACATTTTATATGTGAGGAAGCTGAAGTTCAGACAATTAAATAGTTTGTCCAAATCTAATGGGCTCTTTCTATTGTATCATGCAGTTGGCAGAAATTAAGTTATTTAGTTAGGCAAGAAATATGTTTTGGAAATTCTAAATAAACATATGCACGAAAGAAAAATAAACATAAATAATTGTTTCAAATTCAGATATTTTCATGTTCTACTCTATCCAGTAAGTCTTTTCCAGACTGCTACTGCCCAGGTAGCCCAGTTATTCCTTCAGAGTCGAAGCGGCACACTGTTATCACTTCTAGCACCTCCTTTCACTCAAGTCATTTATTTGTATGTGTCCTCTCCATTCAACTCTTCTGGCCCTAGTGAGCAGACTGTCTTTCTCATCTTTGTTCCTAGCACAATGATTTAAGGAAGAAAGTTCTCAGAAATCAGTATTTGATAGCATTAAAAAGCATAATTTGAACAAAAAGGTGGGAAAACATTTCAAGAGCCACAAAACTATTTATGTACTCTTTACCAAGATTTTTTCTCTTGGCAATTTATTCTACAAACATAATTTGAGAGGAAAAAACAGCTATGTGAATGAAAGTGACCATTACAGTATTATATATAACAAAAAGGAAGGAAACAATGTTACAACCATAATGAGCTATTTATGGTATCCTGAACTATTTAACAATAGGGATATGCACAATACAATACTGAGTGGAAAAAACACCGTACCATAATAATGTTCAAGATACACACACACACACACCCCTATACATACACATACATATATGTATATACATACAGGTATGGATATATACATACAATATATATAAAAAGCGGAAAGGAAAAAGTGCAAAGAAAAAACTTACTTAGAAATTACCTTGTTATAGTATGCAAAACATACATATAAAATCTATAGTTTACTTCAAAAATTAGGATGGTAAACACTAAGTATAATTAGTAATACATTTTCAAAATAAAAACATTTTCTCATATTGTCCTTATAGTTATGTCTATATGATAATCACCCACTTCTTTAAACTAAACTTTCAAATTTTAATATGACTATTTTTACCTTTTAATTTTACAATATGAGGTACAGATAAATTAAAAACTATATAAAGCAGAAAGTAATGAATCTAGAAAAGATCAGTAGTAAGAAAAAAATAATAAGCTCTAGGTCACAATCAATATACAGTAATTTATATGTCTAGATAAAGCACACATATTTAATTTCTCACCTAAAGAGTTAAGATCAGAATAACACAACTACAGCTAACACAGATACTATGTGCCATGTAATATTTTCAGCATGCAATGTTTTCAGCACTTGTATTAAACTCATTTAATACAACAACCCTGTGAGAGGGACTATTATTACACCTGTTTTCCGGATGAGAAAATTATGTAACCTGTTCAGGGTTACTCAGCAAGGAGGTAGTGATGTAGGGATTCAAACCCAGAGGCCTGGCTCTAGAGCCCATAACCATCTCACATCCACACTGCAGACTCCTCCCAGTGCCCCACACTATGGGGCTGCATACTGCAGCAGGAGGCAACACAGAATCTTGCAGTTCCAACAGCCGTGGCAGAAGCAACAGTTGTGCACTGAGGCCACCGGGGGGCAGAGCAGAATATGCTAGGATCAGCAGTATAAAGACTGCTTACGGAATAAAAAGCAGTTCCAATGAAAAAGGAAAGGCTACAGAATTCCACTGAATTTATTGAATAGAGCTTAAAGTATCATACAAAGGCCAGTATTAGGTTCTGTATCTGTGTTACAAAAATCGTATTTTTGTTACCTCCAATCAGTGGACTCTACACAAAACAAGTTACATTTATGTATTAGAAATTAAAGTTAATGCTATTACACAGAGGCATCTGGGTGGTTCACTTGGTTGAACATCCACCTCTTGATTTCCACTTCCAGTCATGGTCCCAGGTCATGAGACGGAGCCCCGTGTGGAGCCTGCTTGGGATTCTCTCTCTCTCCCTCTGCCCCTCTTCCCTACTCATCACATGCTCTCTCACTCTCTCAAAAAAAAAAAAAAAAAAACAATTAAAAAAAAATTAAAGGGGCACCTGGGTGGTTCAGTTGGTTAAGCACCCAACTCTTGCCAGCAGCTCAGGTTGTGATTTCATATTTTGGGGAGATTGAGCCCTGCCTCAGACTCTGTGCTGACGGCACAGTGCCTGCTTGGGATTCTCTCTCTCCCTCTCTCTCTGCTCCTTCCCTGCTCTCTCTCTCTCAAAAATAAAGGTTTTTTTAAAAAATATATTTCTTTTAACGTTTATTTACTTTTTGAGAGACAGAAAACAGTTTTTTTAATATAAAAATAGCTATTAAATAAGGAGAAGCATTTAAGTGTTATAGGTGAGAAATTTATTAGTCTCAAAAATTAGTAAGATGTAAGTCCTAGTATTGCATGTCTTTTATTATTCTTATATCAGATTTAGACATGGACCTTAAAAAAAAATTCCTAAGAAGAATCCAGGTCTTGGCCTACTGTGGTATAGTAACTCTAAGTGCCCATGTCCAAGTAGTCCTAGAAGGGTATAAGAAGGAGCCAAGACTTAACAAATCAATCATGAACATCAAGTATTTGAATCGTTCTGCTAAAGTGATATGCACAGCATATACATATCAGACTGGGGTTTGTCAGAGTTAATTCCAATTCAGAAAATTATACTTTATCATTTATTTATAAAACAAGCTTACTGTAAGGTTCATTCATCTTTAATTAACATGGAGATAAAAGTAAAACAGCACTTATAACCCTACTGAGATACCACTACATATCCATTAGGAAGGCTATAATTTAAAAATCAGATAATAACAATTGTTGGCAAGAATGTGGAGAAATCAGAACTCCTATACACTGCTAGTGAAAATGTAAATGATGTAGCCACTGTGCAAACAGTTTGGCGTTCTTCAAAAAGTGAAACAAAGGTTACCATTTGATCCTGTTATTCTTTTAGGCCTATATATCCAAGAGAAATGAAACTATGTGTCCACACAAAAACTGTTCACAAATATCACAATAGCCAAAAAGGTAGAAACAACCCAAATGTCCATCAACTGATGAATGGATATACAAAATATATATTCTATACAATGGAATATAATT